CTTTATTATGGCACAGGGAGGCCTCAGGGGGTGTGATAAAATCTAGAAGGCTTTTCTCCCAAAAACTTCAAGTATTGAGTCTGCAGGGCCTGGGCTGCTGGAATCCTGTACAGCAGCCTTTTTGTTTCAGAGTTCATTTACTACCTGTTGTTTTTTGTTTGTTTGTTTGTTTTTTGCAGATCTGCGATGAGCTAGGAGTGAAGCGGCCATCTTCTGTGAAAGTATTCTCAGGCAAAAGTGAGTTGTGTGCCTACCTCCTTCCCCTAGTTAGGTCCTTGGTGGTTGATGGGCAGCTGCCTAGTTCCTATTGGGTCAGTCTAAAACCTTTGCTTTCTTGCTTTGCAATCAGGTGAGCGCAGCTCCTCTGGACTGCTGGAGTGGGAATCCAAGAGCGATGCCCTGGAGACTCTGGGCTTCCTGAACCATTACCAGATGAAAAACCCAAGTGAGTATCTGTGTGTCCTGCAGGCATCACCGTGGTGACCTAATGGGTTGGCTGGCTTCAGGCCAGGGATATCTTTCCTGCTCTTGAGATAGGACCCAGGGGATCATCTCACTGTTGGTGACACAGGCAGGTGGGACCTGGTCAGGAGAGCAGGATCAGGAGATCCCCATGGGAGAGCCAGCCTGACTACCTGCTACCACCCACTCTGCCAGTTTGGGAGTTGCTCAGGCTTGTCCTCTAGGGAGGCGGCATTCTTCCTTTGCATCAGAGACTGGCTTAGGTATAGGAATGCCTCTCTCACCTAGGAAAGAGGCAGCACTAGCCAGCAGATGAAACTTGCCCATCCGGTTGCTGGGAGAGGCCCATTGCCTTGGGCTAGAGAAGGAGATAGGAATGGGATTCTCCATTGGAATGAAGGAAGAAAAGGAGAAACATTGCGCATAATTGGTCATTGGCTCATCTTGAAGCCTCACGTTGGGCAGTCACTCCTTAGACCCCTGCAGCTGACCTACAGAAAATGGGAGATGGGTGCAAAATTGAGGGAAAATGGGTTTGGGGAGCCTCCAAAGACAAAGGACCCAACCATACTTCTCTCTCCTTCTTTGCAGATGGTCCATACCCTTACACTCTGAAGTTGTGTTTCTCCACCGCTCAGCACGCCTCCTAATTAGGTGCCTAGGAAGAGTCCTATCTGAGCAGGAAGACATTTCTCTTTCCTTTATGCCATTTTTTGTTTTTTTTTGTTTCTGTTTTTTGCAGAAGATCTCGTATTATTTTTTTCTTTTCCTTTTTCTTTTTTTTTAATGCTAGGTTCATAGAGGCTTAACCTTAATGGAAATGCTGGAAAATCTGCAGGGGGAGGGAGAGGGGAACTGATAATCTCCCAAGATTAACCTTCACTTTTAAAAATTATTGTCCATGTGATTGTTTTTTTCCTGTTCATACATTTGTGCTGCCCATGTACTCTTGGCACATTTCAATAAAATTGTTTGGAAAATAAACACAGCGCTTGCTGGGATTCCAGGATGGATCTGCCCTCCTCCCTTTCACTATGTCCTAAAGAGGCACAGGCAGGCCTGGGCCCAGTCACAGGTCCTCTGGAGGCACACACAACCCTGAGAGGAGCAGGGTAGGCTGCAAACTGAGAATGGTGCTAGCAGCTGTCTTTGAGGAAAATCCAGCAGGCCTAGTGGTGTTCTTCCTCGGCCTTGCCCGAGCAAGCTCTGTTGGGTGTGGTGGGTCATCAGCCAATGCTTCCAGCACTTGCAGAGGCCAAGGCGGGCCAGATAACCTTGAGCTTAGGAGTTGAAGAGCAGCCTCGCAGCATGGCGAAATCTTACCACTACAAAAAAGTTGAGGTGTGTTTGATGACACACCTGTAGTCCAAGCTACTCAGGCGGCTGAGGCAGGTGGGTCAGTTGAGCCTGGGAGGTTAACACTGCAGTGACACCACCACTGCACTCCAACCTGGGTGATGAGAGACCTTGTCTCAAGAAAAATGGTTTCCAGCCTGGTCATGGTGAAACCCCATTTCTACTAAAAATAATAAAATTGGCCAGGTGCGGTGGCTCAAGCCTGTAATCCCAGCACTTTGGGAGGCCGAGGCGGGTGGATCATGAGGTCAAGAGATTGAGACCATCCTGGCCAACATGGTGAAACCCCGTCTCTACTAAAAATACAAAAAATTAGCTGGGCATGGTGGCGTGTGCCTGTAGACCCAGCTATTCAGAAGGCTGAGGCAGGAGAATTGCTTGAACCCAGGAGGCGGAGGTTTCGGTGAGCTGAGATCACGCCATTGCACTCCAGCTTGGATAACGAGTGAAACTCCATCTCAATAATAATAAAATTAGCTGGGCATGGGTGGCATATGCCTGTAATCCCAACTACCCAGGTGGGGGTGGATCACCCCAGCCCGGGAGGATGAGGCCGCAGTGAGGTGTGATTGGGTCACTACCTACAGTCTGGGCAACAGGGTGTGACCCTGTCTCAAAAAACCCTTAGTGTTCTGTATCATTTGAGAGTGACTTTACCCTTGCAGTATCATTGTGTGGATGTGTCATGATTTATTCAACCTGGTCCCAAAGAGTTACATGTGTCTTTACAAAATATCTTGGCCAACTTCCCTGATGATGATCAGTAGGTAAGTTCCTACCAGTGGAATTGCTGGGTTAAAGGATGTGTACAGCTGGATGTGGTGGCCCATGTCGGTAATCCCAGCACTTCGGGAAGCCAAGGTAGGCGGATCACTTAAGGCCAGTAGTTTGAGACCAGCCTGGGCAACATGGCAAAACCTGTCGACAAAAAATACAAAAGTGATAAGGGCATGGTGACAGGTCCTGTGCCTATAGTTTCAGCTACTCCTGGGGGCTGAGGCAGGAGGATTGTGTGAGCTGTGATGGCACCACTGTACTCCATCCTGGGTGACAGACCATATCCAAAACATAATTGCAACATATGGTAGATAACTCCCCACTTGTAGGTGTGAATCTGTGAAGATGCCTTGCTGTAGGGGGTATCACCTGGAAGGATCCTGGTTTAAGGACTGAGTACTATTGGAAGGAAGAGGTCACCTGCAAAGGAGCAGTTCACAAACCTTGGAGTTTATGCATATATGCTTGAGAATAGCCCACTTTGGGAATTTACTGTGAATAAGGAATTCTCTTTTTGAGACTGTTGCCGTCTGGTGTAGAGCGGAGCGATCTCTGCTCACTGCAACCTCCACCTCCCGGGTTCAAGCAATTCTCCAGAGTAGCTGGGATTACAGGTGCATGCCACCATGCCCAGCTGATTTTTGTAATTTTAGTAAAGATGGGGTTTCACTGTATTGGCCAGGATAGTCTCGAACTCCTGACCTCAAGTGATCTACCTGCTTCAGCCTCCCAAAGGGCTAGGATTACAACTGTGAACCACTGTGCTGGGCCTTACATTGTTAACATTTAATGAAGTCACAAAAGCATCATTTAGCAAATGAACAAGTTTTGTTTCACTTTGGGAAGTTTCAAACCTCTAGACAAGGAAAACTACAGTCATGTTGCAGCCATAAACAAATCAACTGGGGGTGTTTTTAAGCCAGTCAAGGAGATAAAAAGTGAATTTTACCAGTTTGTCTCCTAGCATCCAATTTCATTTTCTGTTAGCAGTTCAAGTCTCCTTCCAGAGATATTACATACATATGCCATATTCTGTGCATGTTCAGCTATATGTATATCTTTTTATATATTCTGTTGAGATGGAGTCTGACTGTCACCACACCCAGGCTGAAGTTCTGGTGTGCAGTGGCGCGATCTCTGCTTGCTGCAACCTCTGCCTCCTGGATTGAAGCAATTCTCCTGTCTCAGCCTGTAATCTCAGGATTACAGGCACCTGCCACCATGCCTAGTTAATTTTTGTATTTTTAGTAGAGATGGGGTTTTACCATGTTGGCCAGGCTGGTCTCAAACTCCTGACTTCGGGTGATCTGCCAGCCTCAGCCTCCCAAAGTGCTGGGATTACAGACGTAAGCCACCACACCCAGCCCAGCTATACTTTTTTTTACACCAAAGGAGAAAAGGATCTCATTAAATGTTCTATTACATCACATTTTTCTCACACTTTTTATCTTTGCATAGAGGTTTCAGAGTTTTCCATGATATAACAGTCTGCTGTTGATGGGTAGTTAATAGTTCTGTCTTCCAAAAGAGCCTGTTTCTCTAGTCTGTGAAACCAGACAGGAGACAGGTTCATTAGAAAGAAAAGATACTTCCTTCAGTCCCATTGGCCCAGAGACATGTGTTCACCACCTTGCTCCGTGTCTCCCTAAGGAGCATACTTAAGCAGTTTTACAGTACTGTTTTATGCCCTTGGGTAACTGGCTTTCCTAAGGGAGTTCCATTTTGTGTTTTTTAAGAACAGGAATTTTTTTTTTTTTTTTTTTTTTTTTTTTTGAGACAGAGTGTTGCTCTGTTGCCCAGGTTGGAGTGCACTGGAGCAATCTCGGCTCACTGCAACCTCTGCCTCCCAGGTTCAAGTGATTCTCTTGCCTTAGCCTTCCAAGTAGCTGGGACTACAGATGTGCGCCACCAGGCCTGGTTAATTTTTGTATTTTTAATAGAGACAGTGTTTCACCATGTTCACCAGGCTAGTCTCAACTCCTGACCTCACATAATCCACCCGCCTCAGCCTCCCAAAGTGCTGGGATTACAGGTGTGAGCCACCACTCCCGGCTAAGAACATGAACTCTGGAGCCAGGTAATCATGCTTTAGCCTTTCTGAAGCCCAGCGACCTTGAACCTAGTGCGTTGCGGTGCCTGGGCCAGTTTCCTCTGCATACAGTGGGAAATAGTATGATCTCGTGGGAGTTCATATTATACAGTCAGCGCTTAATGTTGGCCCATCTGTACTCATTCCTTTACGTGGGTAAACTCACAGTCCTGCAAGTTTTTTTTCTTTTAGTTTACTTGATATATACATGCATGATTACAAGCGCTGCTGCCATTATGTCCTTGAACTTTTCAGCTGTCACGAGTTATTCCATCATTATGAAACAGCACTGTGTTGAACGTCAGCGGGAACTATTTGCTTAGTCCAGGTTCCCACTGGGGCAAAGGGCAGTTTCTGAGTCTGGCTGTAATTGTGCCAGGCAACCGGAACTCGGCTGCCCTTAGTAAAGATGGCGGTACAAACGGCGTCATTGCTTGTCATGCTGTGGCATCGACGCCCTCGCTCAACATGGCGGCCTTTTGTGCCCGCCCCCTCGGCTAACGCGGGGGTTTGTGGGTCAGAATATTCAGTAGACGATGGCAGGAGCGATGGCGGCAGGAATGGTGGCTTCTCGCAGACTCCGCGACTTGCTGACCCGGCGTGAGTCACCTTTTGACTTGTGGGGGTCCATCGCGCTGTCGTGCTGTCATAGCAGCTGTAGGACGGGGAGGTCTATCCCGGGTCACAAAGGGCCCAAGCCCCCTAAACTCAGGGATCCCTGTGCTCCCTTCTGAAGGGCTCCTTAATTCTTTTTTTTTTTTTTTTTTTTTTTTTTGAGACTTAATTTTGCTCTTGTTGCCCAGGCTGGAGTGCACAGGCACAATCTGGGCTCACTGCAACCTCTGCCTTTCGGGTTCAAGCGATTCTCCTGCCTCAGCCTCCCAGGTAGCTGGGATTACAGGCATGCAACACCACGCCCAGCTAATTTTTTGTATTTTTAGTAGAGATGGGGTTTCATCATGTTGGTCAGGCTGATCTCCAGCTCCTGACCTCATGATCCGCCCGCTTCAGCCTCCCAAAGTGCTGGGATTACAGGCCACCGCACCAGGCCAGGGCTCCCTAATTCTATAGACCCGTGTCTTGCAGTCCAGGGTCATCAAAAGCTCTCCCTTTCTCCCCAGGACTGACAGCCTCCAACCACCCGGGCCTCGGTATTAGCCTTCGCCTCACTGGCTCCTCTGCACAACAGGAGGCCTCCGGAGTAGCCCACGGTGAAGCCCCAGACCACAGTTATGAGTCCCTTCGTGTGACATCTGTACAGAAACATGTTCTGCATGTTCAGCTCAATCGGCCCAACAAGAGGAATGCCATGAACAGGGCTTTCTGGAGGTCCGACCTGCAGATCTTGGAAGCCTGCCTGCACGGGGAGGTGGGGGCTGTGGGACTGGGCGAGAGTGGAGAGTGGAATGTGGGCAGGGGAGATGGACATGAGGACAGGGTATTTCCCACCCCATCTGTAGCCCTTTACTCATTGCTTCACAGAGAGATGGTAGAGTGCTTCAACAAGATTTCAAGAGACGCTGACTGTCGGGCAGTGGTGATCTCTGGTGCAGGAAAAATGTTCACTGCAGGTACTGGACTCTCCACTCTTCATGCCCACGCTACCAGCCTTCCTAGCTCCTGGCAATAGACAGTAGGGCAGCGCTTCTTAATTAGGGTTTTAAGCAGCTTCTAACTTACACTTATCAGTTTTTTTTTTTCTGAGACAGAGTCTCACTCTATCGCCCAGGCTGGAATACAGTGGCGCGATCTCGGCTTACTTCAACCTCTGCCGCCCGGGTTCAAGCAGTTCTCCTGCCTCAGCCTCCCGAGTAGCTGGAATTACAGGTGCCTGCCACTGTGCCTGGCTAATTTTTGTATTTTTAGTAGAGATGGGGTTTCACCATCTTGGCCGGCTGGTCTTGAACTTCTGACCTCATGATCCACTCACCTAAGCCTCCCAAAGTGCTAGAATTACAGGTGTGAGCCACCGCGCCTTTTTTTTTTTTTTTTTTTTTTTTTTGAAATGGATCTTGCCCCTTCACCCAGGCTGGAGTACAATGGCCTAATCACAAATCACTGTAACCTCAAATACCTGGGCTCAAGCAAGCCTCTTACCTCAGCCTCCCAAAGTGCTGGGATTACAGGCAGGTGCCACCACAGCCAGCCCTATCATTTTTTTTTAAAGGCCTAATTTAAAACATTCAAATATAAAAATTAGTCCAACAGAACATGACGGGATCATAGCTCTGAAATCTGGGTTTCATCCTGGATCTCTGGCCATGAATAAGGTGCTTAACTTCTCAGAGTTTATGTTATATAATATAATAACATGCTTTCATGCAACTATTCAACTCACGAACTGATTTCCAGTTACATGTCAGTTAGATCTTTGGATTGACCCACTGGTCTGTTCTTCAGATTGGAGAATTTCCACTGATCACAGGTGCTAACTCTTCCTCCATCTCTACCCTCCTGTGAAGCACATCCAGTGATTTTTTTTTTTTTTGAGACGGAGTTTCGCTCTTGTTGCCGGGGGTAGTGGCCCGTTTGTTAAACGTGCACTCTGAATGAAGAGACCCTCCCCCAAACAGGCTTTGTGTGAGCAACATGGCTGTTTATTCATCCGGGTGCGGGGGGCTGAGTCCAAAGAGAGTCAACACAGGATGGTGGGTTAGGAGTTGCTTTTATAGGTTTGGGGTAGGGTGGTGGAAAGTTACAGAAGTTACAGTTCAGGGTGGCTTTTGCGAGCTGGGAGGGGGTTGTAGGGTCTGGAGTCACAAGGTTGACCAGGGTCGGTCACAAAGTCCAGTTGCCTTATCAGTTGAGGTGGGAATAAGGAATACTAGAGCATCTCAGAGTTAATTAGGCACCGAAGGGGTTGATCATTCTTCACCTTTTCGTGGTTTTTCAGCTACTTCAGACTTTCCAGTTCCAGGAACTCATCTGGAGTGTACGTGCAGGTTAAAGAGATTACCATGGCATAGTCCATGGTGCAGTCAGTCAGCCTAAGAGACCTTAAACAGCGATCTTGGCTCACTGCAACCTCTGCCTCGTGGATTCAAGTGATTCTTCTGCCTCAGCCTCCCAAGTAGCTGGGATTACAGGTGCCCGGGAGCATGCCCCACTAAATTTTCTATTTTTGGTAGAGGACAGGGTCTCACCATGTTGGCCAGGCTGGTGCTTGAACTCCTGGCCTCAAGTGATCTGCCCACCTCGTCCTCCCAAAGTGCTGGGATTACGGGCATGATCCAGTGTGCCTGGGTCAGTTATATATTTTTTTATTTGTCATGCAGATTTTTCTTTCTGGCCATTGAGCATAATGACTGATTTAAATCTTTGTCTCCTAATCTCAACATCTGGGTCATCTTGGGGTCCGTCTCCTTATCTTTTCTCTTAAAATGGCTCTCACTTCCTGTTTCTTTGTATTTTGAGTTAGTTGGATTGTTTCCTGGATACTGAGATACCGCAATAAGATGTGGATACTCTGGATTCCATTATATAATTCCAAAGAGTGTTGAGTTTCCTGTTTTGGTAGCTTAGTGGGAGTTAGTATTTTGGGTTTTTCTGTTTTTGTATTTTATTTATTTTTTCTAGAGATGAGGTCTTCTATGTTGCCCAGGCTGGTCTTGAACTCTTGAACTCAAGCAATCCTCTGCTTGGGCCTCCCCCACATGCTGGGACTACAATCGTGAGCCACTGTGCCTGGCCTCATGCTGACTTACGAACCATGCATGTTACTCCCAGCAAAAGATTTAAAAACTAACTCTTCAGCCTGGGCGACAAACTGAAAAATGAGCTGGGTGCAGTGCATGACCACATTCTCAGCTACTCTGGAGACTGAGGTGGGAGGATGGCAGTGAGCCAGGGAGGGTCAAGACTGCGGTCAGATGTGATTGTGCCACTGCACTCCAGCCTGGGTGACGGAGCAAGAGCCCATCTCAAGACAACAGCAGCAAAAGCAAAAACATAAATCCCCCAGCAAGAGAAGTGGGCAGAGTTGATACACAGAATTCAGGACTCCTCACCGGGGCTCTCAGAGCACAACTTCAGTCTGCCCTCAGGCTAAAAGCTTTCAAAACACCGAGAGTGGTATGCCACTCTCTTCCTCTTCCTTGTAAGTGGAAACTCCCTCCAGAATCTGCACAGTGCCTTCAGGTAATTGTTTGTTTCTTTTTCTTTCTTTTTTTTCTGAGACAGAGTTTGCTCTTGTTGCCCAGACTGGAATGCATTGGCGTGATCTCAAGGTCACCACAACCTCTACCTCCTAGGTTCAAGTGATTCTCCTGCCGCAGCCTCCCAAGTAGCTGGGATTACAGGCATGTGCCACCACATAATTTAGTAGGGATGGGGTTTCTCGATGTTGGTCAAGCTGGTCTCGAACTCCCAATCTCAGGTGATCTGCCCGCCTTGGCCTCCCTAAATGCTAAGTGCTGAGATTACAGGCGTGAGCCATCATGCCTGACCCAGTTGTTTGTTTCTTGTCCAGCCAGAGTATGTAGTTGTCTGTGGAAGGGTTGGCCCTTGAGGACTAAACCAGAAGCAAAATATTTCATACACTGATTTCTACACAGGGCTCAGCCCAGTGCTGGGAACCTGGTCATGACTAAGACAGCCCCAGGCCCTGCTGTCATGGTGTTTCCAACTCAGTGGGCGACACAGACAGTAAACTCTTCTGTTTTGTCCATTAACATCTTCAAAGGTCCCTTTCTTTCTTTTCCCTCCCTTTTCTCCCTCCCTCCCCACATTTCTTCCCCTTTCCTTCCCTTCCTTCCCTTTCTTCCCTCCCTCCCTCTCTCCCTTTCTTTTTCTTTTAAAAAGACGGGGTTTCACCATGTTAGTCAGGCTGGTTTTGAACTCCCAACCTCAGGTGATCCACCTGGCTTGACCTCCAAAGTGCTTGGATTACAGGCGTGAGCTACCACACCCAGCCTCTTTTTTTTTTTTTGAGATGGAGTCTTGCTCTGTCCCCCAGCCTAGACTGCAGTGAAGCTCACTGCAACCTCCGCCTCCCAGGTTCAAGCAATTCTCCTGCCTCAGCCTCCTGAGTAGCTGGGATTATAGGCACATGCCACCGTGCCTGGCTAATTTTTGTATTTTTAGTAGAGATGGGATTTCATCATGTTTTTCAGGCTGGTCTCAAACTCCTGACCTTGTGATCCACTGCCTCAGCCTCCCAAAGTGCTGGGATTACAGGCATCAGCCACCATGCCTGGCCCTTTCTTTTTTGAGACAGGGTCTCCCTCTGTCACCCAGGCTCAAGTGCAGTGGCACAATCTTGGCTCACTGCAGCCTCAGCCTCCTGGGCTTAAGCCATGCTCCCCACTTCAGCCCTTGAAGTAGCTGAGACCACAGGTGTGCACCACCATGCACAGCTAGTTTTCTCATTTTTTGTAGAAGTGGGGGGTCTTGCTGTGTTGCCCAGGCTGGTTTCTAACTCCTGACCTCAATGGATCCTCCCACCTTGGCCTCCCAAAGTGCTGGGATCACAAGCATGAGCCATCGTGCCCGGCCTCCTCCTTTCTCTCTGAATCTCTGTCTGTTCCTCCTTTTGTTCACTTGTTCATTTGACAAACATTCAGTGACACAGTCCAGAGTCAGAGCCCCCACCTGGGTGCTGGAGATGTGGAAATGGTAGGCAGCCCCCATTCCTGACCCCTTGCTCTCATAGAGCTCATGTCTGAGAATAGAAGGTGGGGCTCCTTTGTGGCTGTGCCAGGCCCAGGTCCTTCATCTTTCAGCTCCCAGCGGAATGCAGCCGTCTCATCTTATTCTCAGCAGCAAGACCCTGAAGGCTCGAAAGAAGAAACTCCGGGTCATGCCATGACCCAGTGATAGAGTAGAACTACTAATTAGAGGAGAAGAAGTTGGCCACGATTCTGTAGCACTCATGGTGTGGCAGGGCCCTTTCTAAGCACTTTAAACATATTAATTATTTCTCACCACAGCCCACAAGACAGGTTCTGCTATAAGCTCCATTTAAAGATGAAACAGAGCCAGAGGGAGCAAAACTTACCCAATTCTCACAGCTTGTAAGTGGCAGAGCTGGGATTTTGGAACTCAGGCTGCCTGGCGATACAGTCCTTGCTTTCTTGTTGTTGAGACAGAGTCTCCTGTCGCCAGGCTGGAGCGAAGTGGAGCAATCTCAGCTCACTGCAACCTCCGCCCCCCAGGTTCAAGTGATTCCCCTGCCTCAGCCTCCCAAGTAGTTGGGACCACAGGCGTGCACCACCACACCCAGCTAATTTTTGTATTTTTAGTAGAGACAGGGTTTCAACATGTTGGCCAGGCTTGTCTCAAACTCCTGACCTCAGATGATCCTCCTCAGCTTCTGAAAGTGCTGGGATTACAGGTGACCATGCCCAGCCTCATGTGCAGCTAATTTTTTCTTTTTTTATAGAGGGGAGGTCTTGCTATGTTGCCCAGGCTATTCTCAAAATCCTAGCCTCAAGCGATCCTACTGCCTCTAACTTCCAAAGTGCTGGGATTACGGGCAGTAGCCACTGCTCCCAGCCCCAAAATGTATTTTTTTTTTAATTCATTTGTTTGCCTTCCATGAGGACGGGACTGTTGTGTGTATTGGACACTTATTGAGCAGCTCGTGTGTGCCAGGCCCCGTTCTAGGTACAGGGTCTATGCAGTGGACAGAAGACAAAAACTGCATTTTCAGAGCTCACGTTCTAGAAAGGGAGTCAATGCCCTCAACAGATGAGGGCTAATTATAGGATGGCAAGCTATGCAGCCTGGAGATAAGGCAGAGTCAGGACGCGGAGCATGGGGCCACTGTTCAGCCAGGTTTTGGGGCGCCTTTCTAAGGAGGTGACCTTCGGCTGAAGGAAGTGATGGAGTCAGATTGAGGCTGTTGAAGAAGGAAGGATGGTTGTCAGCCCAAAGTCCTTGGCTCCCTCCCTATCCTCTGGGTTTTCTTTCCTTCTGAGACAGAATCTCACTCTATTGCCCAGGCTGGAGTACAGTAGCACTATGTCAACTCACTGCAGCCTCCTCCTCCCAAGTTCAAGAGAGTCTCCTGCCTTAGCCTCCTGAGTAGCTGGGAGTATAGGCGCATGCCATCACACTCAGCAATTTTTTTTTTTTTATGATGGAGTTTTCGCTCTTATTGCCCAGGCTGGAGTGCAATGGCACGATCTCGGCTCACTGCAACCTCCACCTCCCAGGTTCAAGTGATTCTCCTGCCTCAGCCTCCCAAGTAGCTGGGATTACAGACACGTGCCACCATGCCTGGCTAATTTTTGTATTTTCAGGAGAGAAGAGGTTTTACCATGTTGATTAGGCTTCATGGTCTTTTAACTCCTGACCTGGGGTGATCCACCTGCTTTAGCCTCCCAAAGTGCTGGGATTAAAGGTGTGAGCCACCACGCCTGGCCAATTTTAGTATTTTTAGCAGAGACGGGGTTTCACCATGTTAGCCAGGATGGTCTCCATCTCCTGACTTCTTGATCCACCTCCCAAAGTGCTGAGATTTGCATGCACACGCACGCGCGCACACACACACACACACACACACACTGTTGGGGGCGAGTGTGCTCAACCTAATAGGTTGGGAATGGTGTGTTCATGCAGGTGAAGTCATGACCAGGACTTTGCATTTGTTCTAAGAGTGCAGGAGGGAAGAAGAGGGTCTGTCTGACCCAAGAAGGT